CTTAGACATCAATGTAATGGACCCAGAAGTTTATCCAACTATTCTAATTCTCTACATGTTTCTATTTTGCATTATTGTAGGAACTAAAAGCTAAAGTAATGTTTATACAGGGAGAAAATAATTTCTATCTAGATACCATTTTTTCCACCCATCAAAAGTTTGACAACCACTGAGGCCTATCATCCTAGGTACTTAAGAGGCTGAAATCTGAGGATCACAGTTTGAAGCCAGCCTCGGCAGGAAAGTCCATGGGACTCTTATCTCCAATAAACTACCAAAAAAGCTGAAAGTAAAACTGTGGCTCAAGTTGTAGAAGTGATTAGCCTTGGACAAAAAAGCTCAAAGACAGAGCCCAGTTCCTAAGTTCGAGCCTCAAGACTGGCACACACACAAAGTTTGAAAATAGCTCATGCCTGTAATCCTAGCTATTCAGATGGCTGAGATCCGAGAATCATGGTTCAAAGCCAGTCCAGACAAAAAAGCTTGTGAAAATCTTATCTTCAATTAATTACCAAAAAATGCCAGAAATGGAGCTGTAGCTCAAGTGGAAGAGCACTCTTCTTGAGCAAAGCAGCTCAGGAACAGTGCCCAAGGCCCAGATTTCGAGCCCCAGAATTGACAGGCGTGCATGCATGAGCACACGCGCGTGCGCGCATGCATGAGCACACGCGCGTGCGCGCACGCACACGCACACACACACACACACACACACACACACACACAGTATGGAAATGAAGTGGTAAGTCTAAAAATTAAGAGCTCTCAGAAACTTCTATTAGGATGGTAAACAGAAAATCTGTATAAAAAGGAATTTGACAATGTTTATCAAAATCACAAATGCACATCCTCACGGATATAGCAATCTTATGTTTGGGAATCTGTCACCCCCCCCCCCCCACACACACATATAGACAGACAGGCATGAAATTCCAATGTACATAATAATTCACTGAGCACCTGTTGTCACAGTAACAATTGGAAACCTCCTAGCAATCAAGAGGGAGTTGGTTAAATTATACTACATCTATATAATCAAATTTTCAGATGCTATAAAAAGGATGTTCTTAAGGTACATATATAAAAAGTTCTCTAACTATTTAAAAAGCAAGATACAGATGAAGGTGTAAGATGTCACTTGTACAAAAAAGGGAAGCTAATAAATAGAAGTAGGAAGTGGGTTTTTCTCCTTGTGTCCTTTTGCAATTTTTAAATTTGGAAACATGTGACTGTAATCTCAGGGCAAAAAGAATGAATTGGTAGCCTGGTACTGACTGCTCACATCTGTAACCCTAGCTACTCAGGACGCTGAGATCTAAGGTTAGTGGTTCAAAGCCAGCCAGAGCAGGAAAGTCCATGAGACTCTTTATCTCCAATTAACCACCAAAAAACTGGAAGTGGAGCTGTGGCTCAGGTGGTAGAGTACCAGCTTTGAATAAAAGAGCTCATGGATAGTGCCAGGTCCTGAGTTCAAAGCCCAGTACCAGGACGGGGAAAAAAACTCAGTTAAAAAAATCCCACCCTTGAGGGAAAAACTGGGAGAGAACAAGGGAAGGGATAACATTATCCTTAAAAAAATGTACTCTTGGGCTGGGAAGGTGGCTCAGTGGTAGAGCGCTTGTCTTGCATGCCTGCAGCCCTGGGTTCGATCCCTCAGCACCACATAAGCCAAAAAAAAAAACGGAAGTGGTGCTGTGGCTCAAGTGGTAGAGCGCTAGCCTTGAGCTGAAGATCTGAGGGACAGCGCCCAGGCCCAGAGTTCAGGCCCCACAACCGGACCCCCCCCCAAAAAAAATGTACTCTTTACCTGATTTATGTAACTGTAACCCCTCTGTACATCACCTTTACAATAATTTTTTTAAATCACACCCTTTTAATGTACTACAGTATTAATGTTTAAATTAACAAGCCATTTAAGAACACTTTGTATTGCTGGGTTTTAGGCCCTATTTCCAGAAAAGATCCCTTAAGAAACTTATTTTAAAGGGCTTAGAGAAATAGAGCACATAGATGAAAAGAAGACAGTAGAGCATCCAGTTGATTTTTATCCATGAGGATGCTTTAGAACAATCCAAGATCTTCTTTTTTAAAAAAATGACCTATAAGCCAGGAACCAATGGCTCACACCTGTAATCCTAGATACTCAAGAGGCTAACATCTAAGGATCGAAGTTCAAAGCCAGTCCAGGCAGGAAAATGCACAACACTCTTATCTCCAATAAACCACCAGAAAACAGAAAGTAGAGCTGTGGCTCAAGTGATAGAGTGCTAGCCTTGAGCTGAAGAGCTGAGGGACAGCGCCCAGGCCCAGAGTTCAAGCCCCAAGACCAACCTACAAAAAAAAATGCCCTGTACTCCACACCCAGATATCAGAAATTCAGGAACGTAGCCATAAGCTGATAATCACTCATGTCAATGTTTTTGTTTTATTTTGTTGGTCATGGGGCTTGAACTCTGGGCCTGGGCACTGTCCCTCAGCTCTTCAGCTCAAGGCTAGCACTCTACCACTTGAGCCACTGTGTCACTTCTAGTTTTCTGAGTGTTTTACTAGAGATAAGAGTCTCACAGACTTTCCTGCCTGGGCTGGCTTTGAACTGAGATCCTCAGATCTCAGCTTCCTTAGTAGCTAGGATTACAGGTGTGAGCCACCAGTGCCCAGCTTTGATCTCAATGTTTTAAAATGGTGAACACTGAACACTGGTTTCCAGATACTCGTCCCATAGGTTTTCTATGATAACATTATCCCCTGCTGTGGTTTTCCTACTCAAATAACATCCTTGCCAATACACCAGTAAACATGTGTGGACACTAGCTACCCATAGAAATAAACTACCAAAAGTTACTAGAGCTATCACAAGTTTTGAGGGTGGGAGGAATCAGAATTAAGTTCAGTATTCATAAATTCACCCATTTCATTTGTGTGTGTGTGTGGTCATGGGGCTTGAACTCGGGGCCTGGGTGCTGTCCCTGAGCTCTTTTGTTCAAGGCTAGTGCGCTACCACTTTGAGCCACAGCAATACTTGCAGTTTTCTGGTGGTTAATTGGAGGGAAGAGTCTCACAGGCTTTCCTGCCCCAGCTCAGATCTTAGATCTCAGCAATCCTCAGATCTCAGCCTCCTGAGTAGGTAGGAATACAGGCAAGAGCCACCAGTGTCAGCCATTAGAGACAGAAAACATACCTATGTATAGCAACATTTTCATTCTAAGCTCTAAAGTCCAGACCTGCCTCAAATCTTTAAATTTCTACAAGTAGCCAGAGGTGATAGACTCCAACGACTGAAAAGCTTTGGGGCCTGGGGCCCATGACTCATGCCCATACGCCTAACTGTTCAGGAAGTTGAGATCTGAGGATCTTGGTCAGATGCAGAGCCAGGCAGACAAATCCAAGAGTCTTCTGAACTTCAGTTAAGCAGCAAACCTGGAAGTGGAGATGGGGCTCAAGTGGTAGAGTTAGTGCTAGCTTTGAGAAGGGAGGAATAGAAGCTAAGCAAGAATATGAGACCCTGGGGCTGGGAAGGCGGCTCAGCGGTAGAGTGCAGGCCTTGCAAGCATGAGGCCCTGGGTTCAATTCCTCAGCACCACATAAACAGAAAAAGCCGGAAGTGGCACTGTGGCTCCAGTGGTAGAGCGCTAGCCTTGAGCTGAAGAGTTGAGGGACAGTGCCCAGACCCAGAGTTCAGGCCCCATGACCGGCAAAAAAAGAAAAAAGAAAAAAAAAAAGAAAAGAGAATATGAGACCCTGAGGTAGGAAGGTAGGAAGGAAGAAAGGAACAAAAGAAAAGGAAAGAAAGACAAAGCTTTGGGGAGTAAAGTTTAAGATCAACATCTCATGAAACTCTGACTTTTCATTATAATTCTCTGGCACTCTAGTTTGTAAACTCTTTTGACTTTGTCTCAACTTTAACCTATATCTCACTTCCTAGCCCAACTGCTATTTTAAAAAGTATTAAATCCATCCCATTTTATATATCAAGTCTTCCTGGGATGTCCTACCTACTACTAGTTTTTGTGCCCAACTGACACCATCCTTGGCATTTACATAAATTCATTAAACAAACAGATGTCCCTTAATTTTCCCTAGAGAGCTTAGACTATCTTTGCTGCTCCATTGAACTTCAGGGATGCTGAGTTCCATTCTGATACCTGGCAGTACACTTTTGTTTTACCTTTAGGCGGTTCACGATCACATTCAGTCCTGGTTGGGGGTTGGAACAATATCCTTCTGGGGAAACACGATCCAGTTAACCGAAGGTGGTAGAATCTATTCTCATTTCAGCTAGGCCTAAAGCAAGTTGGGAGCTCAACAAACCGTGGAGCTGCCTACCAGCCCAGCCCACTTCATGGAAAAAAAGGTGGATGGGGACACTAAAGGAGAGGAGCAAGAGAGCTAGAGTTATTCTAGACCGGAAGCTGAGCAAAGAGCCCATCCAAGGGCACTACATCAGCATCTATGGCATTTGTAACCAGGCCCCTGCTTCACCATAACGTAATGAAGATTGTATACAGTTCAAGTCCTACCAGTCCTGCTGCACACCAACCACCTTAGAGCAAAAAAAGAGAGGAACAAAATGCCATAGTCTTAATCAACCTCAAGGTGTTTCTAAACAGCTCTTACCCAACCAAACTAAAATCTCCAACTTAAAAAAAAAATGTTTCAAAGCCACCCACATCTCATCGTGAAGTTTTAAGGACAGTGGGGTTTATGTGAAGTACATTGGAAGCTAATGATGGCAGGTTTGGGGAGTTCTATAAGGGGTGCGAGTCCCTGAACGTAGTTCCTGCATCTCGGGCTGAGCTCTCCTGCAGGGGTGTGATGGTGTTGGGCCCTACCACGCCACCGCGTCCCCAATTCCGACCCCAAGTGAGAGATCCCAGGCATCCCCTAGCTCCACCCGCAGTTCCCACGGACTTTGCCCGGAGACCGAAGAGATCCGGAGGGCAGGCCGAGATGGCGGCATCCCCTGCACCCCCACAGCTCTAGGGGGGCCGTGGCCCAGCACTCACCAAAGTCCAAGAACTGTTTGATGGAGAGTGGTGATGGTGAAAAGCGTGAGTAGCGCTCTATCTGCTTGGGCACTGGCTGTTTTAGCAGCCACTGGAACAGCCGCATCTTCTCGGAAGCAGGACACCGACCTGCCGAGACGTCAGGAGGGCCTCAGGGGCCGGCACAGCTGAGCAACGCAGGTTGGGGGACGATCGGCGGGGACGCACCTCAACCTCTTTCTAGAATTCCACACCAGCTGCCTTTGGAGCAGCCGCAGCCACCGCCACTGCCACCGCCACCGCACCAACAGCAACAGCAGCAGCTCACGGGCCGGCCGCAACTGCCCGCTCGAGGCTTCTTAGGCCCCGCCCTTTGGGGGCGGGGCTTGTCGCTGCACGTACACAGCGCGCGAGGGTTCTCCGGGCGCTGGGGGCACGCGGGCGAACTCGATCGCTGCTGATTGGCCGCTGCCCAGGCTTTCTTCTGCTCTTGCTGCGGGGGAAGAAACCTTATACTTCCCTAGCTCTCGGGACTCTTGCTGGCTTGGCAAGTATCTGTGTTCCTGGCCCCACCTCTATACTGGTCCCCCTAGGCGCTGGCCTGAGAGACTAAAAGGTAGCTGAGGTTCTAGAAGACTGAGAGGACAATGGGAGTCCACACCTAAAACAAGATCTTGCTGGGTTGCTTCAGGCCTTTGAAAGCCTGAAGAGCTCAGGGACAGCACCCCAGGCCCCACAACGGGCAAAAGGCTGAATTGTTGCACTTTAGGGTGTTTCTTGCATTTTGACACTTTGATTTTTTTCATGTTCTGTTCTTAAATACAATGGTCATTTCACGGCCCCCATCATTATGACCACCTTGGGACAGAACTAAATGTAAGCTCACCAGTCCTTTCATTCCCCCACTCCAAACCCCACCCCTTCAGGATTGACGGAGCTCATTGTAACGTCACTGTTTCCTAGTCTCAGGAGCCCCGCCCTCCCAGCCTACCCTCCACTTTTTAGGAGATTGTTACATCACTAGCTCAGTTTCCTAGTTCTGCAGCCTGCACACCCACCTGGTCGGATGCTTTTTTTAAAGCAGAATGTAAAGGAAGGAATTCGGTGTCATGCTCCCACCACACACACACCACTACCACCCTTGCCCAGGCCCATCACAATGTCACTAACACTGTCTGGTGTCTCCCCGTCCACCTCCCTTGTCCTCTACAACACAGCTGGACAGGATGATCAATTCACTGACTATATTTACAACTCCACCACCACTATTATTGGAGAAAATCAAATAGAAGGTCGCTGGGAAAAGGCTCTCCTTCATATTCCTTCACCTCCATAGGACTCTGAGTTGGTTTCATTACCATACCACTACCACCCCCACCACTTTAGGGCAGGAGTCCAAGTTGACGCTATAGTATTCTTTGCGTAAAAGTAAATTTGAGTCAGGCACCGATCCTAGCTACTCAGGAGGCAGAGATCCAAAGGATCACAGTTCAAAGACAAACAGGCAGAAGAGTCTTCCCTTTTCCCATTAGCCAGCAAAATGCCAGACTGGAGTTGTGGCTCAAGAGGTAGAGCACCAGCCATCAGCAAGAGATCTGAGGAAGCAAGAGAGGCCTGGAGTTCAAGTACATGAATACTCAGTGAATTTGAACTCTTTTTTTTTTGCCAGTCATGGTGCCTGAACTCTAGGCCTGGGCGCCTGTCCCTCAGCTCTTCAGCTCAAGGCTAGCACTCTACCACTTGAGCCACAGCACCACTTCCAGCTTTTTCTGCTTATGTGGTGCTGAGGAATCGAATCCAGGACCTCATGCATGCAAGGCAAGCACTCTACCACTGAGCCACCTTCCCAGCCCCTTGAACTCATTTTTTATGATATAAAACCATTATTTACTAATGTGAATGCATGAAATACCACTTGCTTTAATCATTTCCAGTATCCTTTGACTTAATTTTTAGTAGTAACTGAAAATCACATCTTTGTTCTGATTGGACTGTTTTTCTCACTTAACAGTATTATTAGCATATAGCCTTTAGCTTTTGTGCCTTCATTGGGTGTTTATGCACTCAAGTCTTTGCTTGTATTTCATAAATTTAAAGAAGCAACCTGTACATTCAGAGACATCCAGCGATCTTGCTATGTTTCTGGATTTTCAAGAACCATTTGATCATCTTGGCGGACAACCCTGTCTTTTATATTCAAATCAAAGAAAACATACTACCAAGCTGTTCAGCTAGCAGCTTTACCAGCAAAATGAAGTACAACAGCTGAGGGCAGGGAACAAACACAGAAAGGAGACCAAACGTGTGTGATTCCTCAGTGACTTTCTCAGGTGCTACCTACAGGGGCAGCACCTACAGGGGAGTACAATTGGTAGCAGTTGTTTGTGTATTCTCTGGAAGTACTTATGTTGTCTCTCCACAGCAAAAATGGGAGGTGAGTATTATCCTCATTTTACAGGTCAGTGAACTTAAAGACACAAAGGGCTTAAAATATTTTAATCTTGCCAGGCTCTAGTGGCTCATGCCTGTAATCCTAGCTACTCAGGAAGCTAAGATCTGAGAACTGTAGTGGGAAGCCAGCCCAGGCAAGAAAGTTTGTGAGCTTCTTATTTACAATTAGCCAAAAGTAGAGCTGTGGTCAAGTGGTAGAATGCCAGCTTGAACAAAAAACTAAGAGACATTGTCCAGACCCTGAGTTCAAGCCCCAGTACCAGCACAAAGAAAAAATAATCCGGTGTTCCTATCCATTCTTCCCTCTCACTAACCCGCTGCACTAACCCATTACTTTTCAGTTTTGCTCTTTAACAGTATCCTGTAGTTGGGATCATATAATAGGTTGCCTTTCCAGATTAGCTTCTTTCACTTAGCAACATGTGCTAAAGGTTCCTCCATCTTTTCCTGGCTTAATAGCTCCTATCTTTTCAGGGCTGAATGATTTTCCATTCTATAGATGTACCATAGTTTGTTTATTCACCCATAGAAGAACATCTTCATTGCTTCCAAGATTCACCAGCCTGTCATTTTTTGGTAGTACTGACTGGGGATTGGGATTTGAACACAGGGCCTCAAACTTGCTAGGCTGGCATATACAGCTGAGCCATATTTTCTCACATGGCTAGAATCTGGATTTTTTTGACACAGACTTTTGGGTATGTGAACTAAAATCAAGATCTTCCTCCTTCAGACTCCCAAGTTCTGGGATTATAAGCATACACCACTACTCCCAGTTTAGATTCTAGAATTTTTTTTTGCCGGTCATGGGGCTTGAACTCAAGGCCTAGGCACTGTCCCTGAGCTTCTTTTGCTTAAGGCTAGCACTCTACCACTTGAGCCACAGTGCCACTTCTGGATTTTTCTGTTCATGTGGTACTGAGGAATTGAACCCAGGGCTCCATGCATGCTAAGCAAGCACTCTACCACCATGCCACATTCCCAGCCCTTGAATTTTCTTGTACAAACTATTTTGGGCAGACCAAACTTCTTGAAGTCCATTTATATTTGTCCTTTTGCTCAATTAGTCAAGGTCTTCAGTCTTATATTTCTCTGCCCACCAAAATATTTTAAGTACAGGAATGGTGTGACTGGATAATTCATTGAGGAATATTTTTTTGTATGTGCCAGTCCTGGGCCTGGGTACTGTCCCTGAGCTTGTTTTTGCTCAAGGCTAGCATTCTACCACTTGAACCACAGCTCCGTTTCTGGCTTTTTTAAAAGTCAATTAGAGATGAGTTTCATGGGCTTTCCTGCCTGGGTTGGCTTCAAACCACGATCCTCAGATATCAGCCTCCAAAGTAGCTAGGATTACAGGCATGAGCCACCAGCACCCAGCAAGCAATAAGTTTATCATTTTGTTTTTGGTGTTCTTGGAGGTGCAAAAGACAGTTGAAATTTTGGCTCAGGGCTTTGGACTCCTATGCTGTGACTTGCAGGTTTTGTTAGCTATTCTTGTATGGCAGGCTTTTTTCCATTTCAAGGGCAGAAGAGAGAAGTTGGAAAGTTTAAGAGGTATTTTGGCAATCTCTATAGAAATATCTCTTCTATTGGTAACTACTCCCACTTTGCTTTCAATTTTCTATGAGTATATTTGTGCTATGCCCAGATCTCCACTAACCCTAATTTTCTGGAGGTTTGAAAGCTCTGATGAAAAGAAAAATAACCATTTATCCAAAGGAATTGGGGGCCCCCTCGTCTAGAATAATTAGTTCCTTGTAACATCAGATGCATGAAACTAGTGAAATTAGTGATCCTGAAGGCACAGCACCTGAACTGAGTACTTTCCACAATTTGAAACATGCCATAGAATAGAACACAAAAGATCAGATGTCAAAATCTAAGGTGATGCAATTCTGTTACAAGTGCTCAAACTGAACTGTACCACACAGTAACCCCAGTAATTGAGACCTTGAGATATGGCTGGTCAGAAATGAGAGATATGCTATGTTTAAATTTTTACACTGATTTAATTTGTTTACACTTGAAAACAAATGTAAACTATCTCACTAATGAGTTGGGCATGATAGTGCATGCTTGTAATCCAATCTATAGTACTCACAAGACTAAAGCAGGAAGGTTGGGTGTTCAAGGTGAGCCTAGGAAAAGTTACTGACACCATGTCTCAAAAAGCAAAGTAGCCAGGCCCCAGTGGTTCACTCTTGTAATCCTAGCTACTGAGGAGGCTGAGATCTGAGGATCACAGTTCAAAGCCAGCCCAGGCAAGAAACTCCATGAGACTCTTATCTCCAATAAACCACTCAGAAAACTGGAAGGGGCACTGTAGCTCAAGTGGTAGAGCGCTCACCTTGGGCTGAAGAGCTGAGGGACAGTGTCTAGGCCCAGAGTTCAAGCTCCATGACCGACCAAAGGAGAAAAAAAAAAAAAAAGCAAAGTAGCAGCAGAAGTGCTAGGGTCATGGCTCAAGTAGAATACCTTCCTAACATGCGCATTGGATCCAAGTTCAGTCTCCAGTACTACAAAAAATTATATTGGCTACATGTTGAAATAATAACCTTTTGGATATATTGGCTTAACAAAATATATTATTAAAACTGATTTTAGCTGTTTCTTTTACTCTTTTTAATGTGGCTTCTAGAAAATGCGGCTTGCGCCAAGATATGAAACCAGCCCAGATGACCCATAATAGATGAGTGAATCCAAAAACTGTGGTACCTATACACAATGGAATTTTACACAGCCATTAGAAAGAATAAAATAATATCTTTGCAGCGAAATGGATGGAACTAGAACAAATAGTGTTAAATGAGGTAAGCCAAGCTCAAAGGGACAAATGGTGCAGAAATTAGATCTAAAATACATTGGGATATGATCAATTATATAGGATT